AAGCAACCCCAACACCCGTCACTCCTGAGATGGAGAGAGTCAAACGCAATCAAGAAATCATTAGCTCGGTATTTTTAACAGGAAACCAGTTCCTAAAGATTGGAATGAAGTGTTTAACGTAACGGTAGCAGTTTAGTAATCCGTGCCTTCTAACTTTATGTAGCATAAACCTCCCACCTTCTGCGCTTACAAGCCAATCGTGGCATCTTCTGTTTAACGCTCTCTGAAGCAGGGTTTTACTAGAACTAGGTTTGACCTGGTTTTTGGATGGATATTGTTTCCCTGCAGTTTTCTTAACCCTTTCTTACTACAAGTGTGCTTTCGTGCAGGGTTGACGCCACACAGGGCCCATTTCTGCATCCTGATAGACGAATGGCAAAGCTCCCGTTGCTTCTTTCGGGACCAGCACTGTGCCCAATCTAACCCTTTCTAAGCGCCATGATTCAAAAGCTGTGTTGCCTGTTGGTTTGGGTTTGTTTGGGGGTTTGTTTTGGTTTGGTTTTTTGTGGGTGGTGCCTTTTTAGTGACATTTGGATACTCCCTTATATCTGTAGGTTTTGTACAAAGAAAATGTGGGGAAAGTGACCCCCACACCGGTCACTCCAGAGATGGAGAGAGCCAAACGCAATCAAGAAATCATTAGCTCGGTACCTTAAAATAGATACATTTCTTTTTTCCTTTGTGCTTATATCTTAATAAAGTAACATTCTAACTACCTACTGAAAGTTTATTTTAGTTTAAAAAATAGATATATTTGTTTCTGCAAATTAATTCTCCTAAAATAAAATGACTTTAGTGTTAACAGTCTGATCCAGAAATTCAGGCCTTTTCTACAGCTCAGTTTGTGTACCTGTGGGCTCTATCCAGACAAGAGCTTAGCGTCTTTTGCTCAAGCTACTCAGGTTTATCTTGCCATGCTGTGTTTAAGCTTTCATTGGCTTTTCAGGGGTATTTGACTTTAGCAAAAAACAAACAAGAAATGCAACCACCCCAGCCCCCCAAAAAATCCCACCCCTCTGACCCGTGTGAGATTGTATTGCTGTGACAGGTGACCTAGGATGCCTTAAACGGAATGACACAAGAGGCACGGGACTGTTCCTCTTCTGGGTGGTGTAGCAGCGACAGCTTTCAGGTGGCCCCATGGACTGGGGTGACTTCTAGGTGATACCAGACACCCGTCGTTATTTGGCTGCTCGGTGCCAGTGTGGCAACAAAACTCCTTCCTCCCTCCCCAAAATATCATGAAGTGCTTCAAGCGCAGATAAAACAGCAGACAGAACATTTCTTAAATGGTTCTCTAGGGCCAGAGGCAGCTCCCCTGAGCCTACAGAGCCATCGTCGTGGTTGTAGCTGGATAGAGCCCGTCTTTGTTAACCAAAAAAATAACAAGCTTTTCTTTTACAGTTTGTTTTTCTTACCCTTCCTGACAGCAGTAGATGTTTGGCTTTTGTGCAGTGCTGCATACCATAATCAGTCGTGACTTTTTTGAAATTTGATAACCCAGTAATAATTTGTGTTCAGATCCTGTTGATTTGGAGGGGGTGGAGGGTTTAAGATCCCAGATACATCTTCTGTATCTCACAGGTGTTGTACAAAGAAAACTTGGGGCGAGCGACCCCCACACCTATCACTCCAGAGATGGAGAGAGTCAAACGCAATCAAGAACAGATTAGCTCGGTATTGTCTGGAAGAAGTAAAGGGGATATGATACAGCACTATTTTTTTTTTTTTTAATAACTTGAGTCTGCCTGGTTTTATTTAACCCTCTAATTTTTTCCCCTCAAACTTAGAACGTGATCTCTTAAATACTACAATTTTAAAAGATTTTTTTTTTTGTCAATTAACTTTTTAATACTATTTTTCCTCTGACCCTTTTTTTTTTTTCTTTCATAACGGATGGGGTTTATTCTAAAACCAGTAACATTACAGTTTTTAATTTCTACACTTGTGACTTTGAGTTACTTTGTGATCTGTAGGTTGTATACAAAGAAGGCTTAGGGAAGGCAACCCCCACACCGGTCACTCCGGAGATGGAGAGAGTCAAACGCAATCAAGAACAGATTAGCTCGGTACTGAAAGAAGAACGCCAACCACCTTGTATTAAAAATAACCGTTCTGAACAAAACCTCCACTTCTAATTTAGCCTTAGTTTCTCAGTTTTCCTTATTTTTGCTTATTTTTCCCTTTGATTTTTCCCTTTTGCTCTAGCTAATAACTCTTGAGATGCTTTATTTCCCAAGATCTTTTCTACCCCTGCGGTGATGAGTATGCTTAAACAATAACACCATTTACAGAATGCGCTTATTCCAGTCAGATTTGTGGACACCTTTTCGTACACCGTAGGTTTTGTACAAGGAACATCTGGCAAAAGGAACTCCAACACCGATGACTCCAGAGATGGAGCGAGCTAAACGCAATCAGGAAAACATCAGCTCGGTATGTTCCATTCAGCCAATACATGAAAACATGTTAAAAAGTAACATTTCAGTCCCCCAAATCCTTACTGAAATTAACAGTGCGGATGTTAACATAACTATGTGGCTGCCTAGTTGGAAGTATGAAGTAACCATACTAAAAATCAAGTCCTTTAATACTTGCGTTTTAACTTTCTGCTGCAATTAAGTATTTTTGTGTGATTAGCGGCTTTAGTTTGGGGTTTTTTTTAAAAAAAAAAAAAAAACCAAACAAAAAACCAGTTGAATTTGGGCTTGTTCAGCCTGGAGAAGAGAAGGCTGCGGGGAGGCCTGATTGCGGCCTTTCAGTACCTAAAGGGGGCCCATAGGAAAGATGGGGAAAATCTTTTTAGTAGGGCCAGCCGGGACAGGACAAGGGGGGATGGTTTTAAACTAAACCAGGGTAGGTTTAGACTGGATCTAAGGAAGAAATTCTTTACAGTGAGGGTGGTGAAACACTGGAACAGGTTGCCCAGAGAGGGGGTGGAGGCCCCATCCCTGGGACCATTCCAGGCCAGGTTGGACGGGGCTGTGAGCAACCTGATGTGGTTCAAGGTGTCCCTGCTCCTGCAGGGGGGTTGGGCTGGGTGACCTCTGGGGGTCCCTTCCAACCCAAAACATTCCATGATTCTATGATTCTATGAATTTGAAATAACACGCGTTGCCTTCAAGTCTCTTGCAAATATCTTCTGTTTTTTACTGGTCTTGTACCATATGACTTATACGATGGTCATTCTTCAGTGACAGTGTATTTTATGTTAGATTTCAACTCTATAAAAACATGACAACTCTGGAAACAGCCTCCTTCAGGCCCTGCTTTGCTAGCCTGTTACTCCAGCGGTAAATCCTGACATACCCCGTCCTGTAAAGGTTTAGGTACAGAACAGAGCACGGAATCATAGAGCGCTTTGGGTTGGAAGGGACCTTTAAAGGTCACCTAGGCCACCCCCCTGCCATGGGCAGGGCCATCTGCACCTGGATCAGGTAGCGCAGCGTTGTCGTGGCTTGCTCGACAAACCCGGTAACACGGTATCTGCAAACAAATGGTGACAGAAGCATGGTGCCACTGTTACCACTCGGAGAAGAAACCCTACAAACCCAGCAAAACCTGTAGTATTTCAGAGATAAATACAGAGCTAATTATGGTGTCTGTTTCGCACGGGTACCTTCACCAAAGTCAGTGAGGTACGCGTCAAATGTGTGAAAATATTACCTAGAACATTATGACTGTGTTACCTCTACCTGTTGTCACGAGGTTAAAAAAAGGTTAAGGATCCTTTCGTTAAGAAAAGGAACATTTGGGATCAAATCCAGAGCTGTCCTTGTCTCATCCAATTATGAAAAAGGATTTTGCTTTGCATTCTAATGTTAATCACCAACACAGCTGCTACTCTCCTGACACCCCCCAGCCCCATCTTTGCCGGGTTGCTGTGGTACAGCTCATTCCTCCTGATGCAGAAGTAGTTTTGTGCCCTGTGCTCACTTCCTTTTTCTCATCTGGCAGGTTCTTTATTCAGACAGTTTCCGAAAACAAGTACAAGGCAAAGCTGCGTATGTACTGGATACACCCGAAATGCGGCGTGTACGAGAGACCCAGAAACATATCTCTACCGTAAGAGCGTTTATAGATTTATTTTTAACTTGGCAAGTGATTTAAATACAAACCTTTATTTCCTGAGACATTCCCGGAGTGGCAGCTCAAGGACAATGTACGCAGAGCAAGTTTGCTTACCCAAATTCTTAAATGCTAAAGGCAAGAGTGACTGCAGGACAGGCACGTTTGGGATTAGGCTCTCTCCTTGTTCTTTGGACTGGAGAAAGCAAAAGTTCAGCACAGCAGTGCACCCCTCCACTAGAAATTCACCTGCGGTAAGCAGGAATAACGGTTATTTAGCTAAGCTACAGCCATTTCATTTTCAATTGCAGGTAAAATACCATGAAGACTTTGAGAAAAGCAAGGGTAGCTTCACACCTGTAGTTACCGACCCCATTACGGAACGCGTGAAGAAGAACATGCAGGACTTCAGTGACATTAGCTACAGGGGCATTCAAAGGCGAGTGGTACAGATGGAGCGAAAGCGCGTGGACCAGGATCAAGAGAACCTCACAGGTAAGCAGAGCCCAGGCTTTGTAATGACTTGAGGACATCATTTACTCAAACCACCAGCTGGCCCGGATGAATTGTTTTATTTAAGCTCAGCTGAATCAGTTCAAGTTTATCCTTACTTGGAGATGATGTTTTTATCGAAGTCCATTTGGAAAATACTCTTCAGCAGCTGTAAATCTGTGGTCTGCCTCCCCTGTTCTGCCCAACTTTATCATGTAACCCTAGACTTTTGTAGGCCTGTAGACACCTTGAGGTTGGACAGGACCTTTACTTACGTTTTTAACTTCACCTGTGCAGTTTTAGAGAAACAACTTTAGCTCACTTGATGTGGATGAATTAATGTTAAAAAAAAAGCCTAATCTCTGCTATAGATTTGAGAAACACAAATTAATGAAATACTGCTTGCCCCCTTCCGATACGCTTTTACTCCTGCTCAGGACACGGGTACTGCTCGAGCTCTCTAAAAGTTGCTTGAGCTACAGAAACTGCGCTTTCTCTTACAGGTCTTCGTGTGTGGCGCACTAATCCCGGCTCAGTCTTTGACTACGACCCAGCAGAAGACAACATTCAGTCCCGAAGCTTACACATGATCTCCGGTTCGTCCCGTAGGCTGTACTGTTTGTGCAAAATAGGTTTCATGCGTGTGCAAATCCCATCAGTAAAACTGATGGCTCGGGGATACTGAAGCGGAGCTTGGCACTGCACCTGTGCAAGAACGCAAGCGTGGTCTTACCCGCTGACTTCAGGCACTGTTAAAAATAACAGACAGGCCTTTTTGAGCAGAACTTCAGCACGGTGTCCATAGAATGCTTTTAAAAAGCCCTGGTAAATACCCTCAGGCAGCCATAACGCCAGACTGCCATCAGTGCGCGCGCTTTTTTCCGTTAGTTTTGTAAAATGCAGCAACCAGTTCTGCTCAGCGTGCAGGTGGCCTCCGTCAGCTTTCCACTCCGTACAGGCACAACTGCTGCAGCTCTGGCAACCAGGGCAGAGAGCTGGGGTATTTTTACTGAATACATACATACACACATATGTATATATGTATGTGTGTATATATATATACATAAAGTAGCCTCTCTATGTGCATATGTACATATATATGTATATACACGTGGTGTTATGTGTGCATCTCCTTACAAATCACTGGTGCCCACGGCTTTCTCCTTGCAGTCCAAGCCCAGCGCCGCAGCCGGGAGCACTCCCGCTCCGCCAGTGCCTTGAGCCTCAGCGGTGGCGATGAAAAATCCGAACCCTCGGATGGCGCGGATCAGCATTTGTCCTACTACAGCAACGGCGGCTTCTTCACCACCAGCACAACAGGTACCAGGAAAACAAACACGCTTTTATTCACGTCTGAGGAGAAATGGTGTCCAGACCACCTGGCAGGGCAGTACTGCTCAGTAATTCCTTTCACCGGGGAAAAAAAAACACAGAGTAGACCTGCAAAAGGTTGAGTTATGGGCATAACCCACAGCTGTAGCGCTGTCCCTCAGGAGGCCAAAGGCCGGTTTGGGCTGTCCCTCAGGAGGTCAAAGGCCGGTTTGAGCTGCACCTCAGGAGGCCAAAGGCAGGCAGGTTTGACCCACCCAATGACCGATCCCATGGTCTTTATTCAGAGCCACTCGAACCCTATTGCCACTTCCGTAATAAACAATACAAACTACATTTTCCATTTGCAGTGGGCTACAAACACGCTAAAACCGTAGAGTTACCACAGCAACGGTCGTCGTCAGTCGCCACCCAGCAAACCACAGTATCGTCGGTGCCTTCTCACCCATCCACCGCTGGCGTAAGTAACACTGCTGCGTTGTACTCGGCCACAGGCCCCGAGCGTGCCGCCCGCCGAAGGGGCACAGCCCCGGCGCTGCCCAGGGGCTGAGGGCCCAGCTCCCCCCTCCCTCGGGTGCTGTGAGCCCGGGTTTGAGTCAGCGCCCAGCCCCAGCGCGGTACAAAACCAGGTGCGGGGGTAACAGAGGCACGGAGGCGGGGAAGACCCAAACCTGTTCTTGGAAACTTTTAACAGTTCTGGCAATGCCTGAGCTCTGGTCTGAGAGTAGCTACAGGACCGGGGGTAGCGCATCACCCCCCCCCCCATCC